AACGCGATCACGTCGCGGATGTTGTCGTAGCCGCCGAAGAGCATCACGACGCGGTCGAGGCCTAGGGCGATGCCGCCGTGTGGGGGGGCGCCATAGGCGAGGGCTTCCAGCAGGAAGCCGAAGCGGTCCGCGGCGGTTTCTTTATCGATGCCTAAGAGGCCGAAGACCTTCGACTGCACTTCGGGGTCGTGGATCCGGATCGTGCCGCCGCCCGCTTCGTAGCCGTTGATGATCAGGTCGTAGGCCTTCGCCCGACACTTGCCCGGGTCGTTATCAAGATTGACGACGTGCTCGTCGAGCGGCGCCGTGAACGGGTGGTGCATCGCCGACCACTTGCCGACCGCTTGCGGGTTGTCGGAGTCCTCGGTGCGCTCGAACATCGGGAACTGCACGACCCACGAGAAGTTCATCGCCTTGGGGTCGTACAGCTTCATCTCTTCGCCGATCTTCTTCCGCAGGTTGTGCAGCAGCTTGCACGTGGCGAGCCACTGGTCGGCTGAGAACAGCACGAGGTCGCCCGCCTTGGCGCCGAGCCGCTCGGCCATCTCGGCCTTCAGCTCGTCGGTGAAGTACTTGCCGATGTTCGAGTCGAGCTTGCCGGCGTCGTCGACACGGAAGTACGCCAAGCCCTTGGCGCCGAGGCCTCTCGCAAATTCGGTCAATGCGTCGATGCCGCGACGGCTGTAGTGGTTCGACCCGCCGGGGACGCAGATCGCCCGCACGTGGCCGCCCGCTTCAACGACCGACGTGAAGACGCCGAACTCGCACTTCGCCGCAAGGTCGGTGAGGTCGGTGATCTCGCAGCCGTAACGCAGGTCGGGCGCATCGTGGCCGAAGCGGCGCATCGCCTCGTCGTACGTCATCCGCGGCAAAGGTAACTGGACATCGAGGCCGAGCACCTCCTTGGCGAGCTTCTGCATCAGGCCGTCGATGATCGTCATGATGTCGTCGTCATCGATGAACGCCATCTCGAGGTCGATTTGCGTGAACTCCGGCTGCCGGTCGGCGCGGAGGTCCTCGTCGCGGAAGCAGCGGGCGACCTGCACGTAGCGGTCGTAGCCCGCGATCATCAGGATCTGCTTGTAGAGCTGCGGCGACTGCGGCAGCGCGTAGAACTTGCCGTGATGCACACGCGACGGCACGAGGTAATCCCGCGCGCCCTCGGGCGTGCTACGGCCGAGGATCGGCGTCTCGACATCGATGAAACCGAGGTCGGCGAAGTAGTCGCGCATCCCCTTAGTGATCTGGTCACGCAAGATCAGCGCGCGTTGCATCGATTGGCGACGCAAGTCGAGATACCGGTGCTTGAGCCGCAGGTCCTCGTTGGGGACTTCGGTGATCGACTCGCTCGGCGAGACGGGCGGCACTTTCGACTTGTTGAGCAGCTTCAGCTCGGTGACGCGCAGCTCGATCTCGCCCGACTTGTGCTTGAGGTTCGCCATGCCGGTGGGGCGCGGCTCGACGTTGCCGGTCACCTGGATGACGTACTCGGCCCGCAGGTCCTTCGAGGCCTCAATGATCGCCGCCGGCGTATCGGGCGGGTTGAACACCACCTGCGTGATGCCGTACCGGTCGCGGAGGTCGATGAAGAGGCCGCCGCCGTGGTCGCGGTAGCTATCGACCCAGCCACAAAGCGTGGCGGTGGTCCCGGCATGGGTCAGACGGAGATCGCCACAGGTATGCGTCCGCAACACGTTAGCCTCAAACGATGTCTTGTTTGGTAGGGATAACCACAGAGGCACGGAGGACGCTGAGGGACGCACAGAGAAGCAGCTCTCTGTGCGTTCTCGGTGACCTCTGTGCCTCGGTGGTTAATTCAGAACCGCAGATTCTAAGCCGGACGGCTATTGTTTGGAACGGAGCCAGACGCCTAGCCTTTCCATCCCCTCAGCTGTCGAAATCCGCGGCCGGTAGCCGAAATCCTCAGCGGCGGCCTCTTTGTCGAACCAGTGGTCGGTCGCCAGCTGGCGGGCGACGAAGCGGGTCATGCGGGGTTCGCGGCGCCAGTTGCGGGAGGACCAGTGCTTGGCCTCCAGCAGGGCGCCGGCGGCGTAGGCGGCCCGTGCGGAGACCGACCGCGTCACCGGCGGCAGGTCCACCAGGGCGAGGATCTCGTCGACCCACCGCCACAGATCGACGGGCTCGGCCTGGGTGATGAAGTACGCCTTGCCGGCGTTCTTGGGCTCGGGCTTGTCGAGCTCATCGGCGGCCAGCAGATGCGCCTCCGCGGCGTTCTCGACGTAGACCATGTCGACGCGATTCCCCCCCGGCCCCACGCGGCGGAGCTGCCCCGAACGGGCGCGCTCCACCAGCCGCGCAGTGAGGTGATGATCGCGCGGCCCCCAAACCAAGTGAGGACGCAGCGACGTCGTGCGCAGCATGCCGCTACCGGCGACATCGCTGCCATCCTGCGTAAGAACAAAATCCTCGGCGATCGCCTTGGAGTGCGGGTAGTGGGCAAGCCAACGCGTCGGGTAAGGAACGTCGGCCGTGACGCCGCGCTGGTCCTTGCCATCAAAGACGACGCTCGGGCTCGACGTAAACACCAGCCGCGTGACGCCCTGCTCGCGGCACGCGCCGAGGACGTTGAGCGTGCCATGGACGTTGGCTTGAAAGTAGTCGAACCACTTCCCCCACACACCGACCATGCCGCCGACATGGAACACGCAGTCGACTTCCTCGCAAGCACGCATCACGGCGTCACGGTCCGCCAAGTCGCCACGGACCATCTCGACGCCGAGCGCGTCGAGCTCTGGGTACGCACCGCGCGCAAGGCCGCGGACCTCATCGCCACGGGCGACGAGTTGTTCGCAAATGTAGCGGCCAAGAAAGCCGCCGGCGCCGGTGACGAGGTAGCGAGGCAAGTCGATTGCGGATTGGGGAATGCCGATTGGGGATGGAAACGATGGCGAGCCCCACTTAGCCCCCGGTCAATGACCGG